TCCTGTCAGAGCTGAAGAAGCTTCTTGGATGAGAAGCGAAACGTCTTCAAAAGAAAAAAACAGGAACGTCCAAGTTGCCTCCTGAAAAAGCACCTTTGGGACAACCATGACCTGGATGGCTGAGAATCTCTATGGACTTTTATTTACTCTATTCTATTTTTTTTTAAGTTTTGCGAAGTTGTGTCATGTATAAACGCCTGACCCACATGCTCTCATCACGAGGCAATGACCTGTAAGGGTTAACACCCACAGACCCCTTCACCCCTTGACCCCTGCTTACCTCAACTCCACCCCCAAGGTATATAAGCTCCATCCATGTGGCCCGGAGCCTAGTTCCAGCTGACCACCTGTAAGAGATAGATATGCTGTAAATAAATATTGTTGATTCAACTAATGTATCCTGTGCTGGAGTTATTGGGCAAGATCCTCGAAAATAAGTAACAAGTTGAGAGAACTACCTGCCAATCCTTGCGGAATAGGCATTCTTGGGGGGGGGGGCAGAGGAAAAGGTTTTTTTAATGTTCTGTTTGACCTCCCCAAAATCTCTTCCCGGGTCTCCCCCCCACCCTCACCCAGAGGGGGCGGTCCTAATTAAAACCGTGCTTGCGCGCGCCCCCCGAAGCAAACCCGAGCCGAGCTCGGAACTGGGGTGGTTGGGGAAGGGTGGGGGGTGAGGGGAGAGAGAGTGGGGGGGGCTGCTTTAATGGTATTTTAAATTGACAAGCGAACAATGATTTCCGTATCGGTATCTGTCAAAGGCGCGAGGAAAATCCTCCGCTGATAAGGCCCAACGCTTCCAATTAAGAGGGCCAGCGGAGCTTCAGCCAATAATGATTCCTGGGGAAGGGGCGGGCGCGCTGGAAGGTGCTCCCTCTCTCCCTCACATATACACACGTATACACTGATTGCAAATTACTGACAAAGGAAGAGCCCCGCTGTATTGGCTGAGGAGAAAAACGGGCGGCTTTCCGGGGGCCCCCGTAAAAGAAAAGCTCGTAATGAGGCCGCTCGCTCGCTCGCTGACGTCGCCACCTTCTCCCTTCTCTCCTCCTCTCTTCGTCTTCTCTTTTTTTTCTTCTTCTTCTTCTTCCTTCTCCTTTTTCCTTCTCCTCCTCCTCCTTCTCCCCATCTTTCCCCCCCCCCCCCCCCCCGCCTCTCCCCCCCTCCCTCCCTCCCGCAGTCCTCTCGCCTCCCACTGGCTTTGAAGCGTGTTGAGGCACTTTCTTCGCCAATCTGATACATGAAGGACCACTAATTTGATGTCAAACTCCGGCGCGGGTCTCATCAATATTAGCGCCGAGGCGAGGCTTTAAGTTAGGCGGTAGGCGCGCTCACGCCTTCGCGCCTTCCCGCTCGCGAACGCGCGCGCGCGCTCCCGCGGCCCTCCCTGCCTGATCCCAGAGGCCTCAGGAAGGGACCCCGACCTCTCTCCCCCCCCCCCCCCGCCGCCTCTGCCGTTCCCTCTGCCTCGTTCTCCTCCCTTCTTTTTAGGGCCAAGAGGCGGGAAGAAGGCAGGGCAGTTAAAGCCGTTTATTTACCTGATACTGTACCGGCTAGGGTAGCGAAGGCCGCTCCAGCTGCCTGCCGCGGTTGATTGCACCGTTACCCCGAATGAACTCCGCGGTCTTTAATGGGGCTGGAGGAGGGGGGGATGTTGAGGACTGCGCGCCCGGGACCTGAGGGGAGAAAGAACAGGACTCACCTTGAAGCAGGCTGATGAGTTTTGGAAGTTCCTTGCTGGGAATGATTGACCTCTTACACCAGGGGTGCCCAAACTTGGCTCCTTGAAGAGTGGTGGACTTCAACTCCCAGAATTCCCCAGCCAGCATGCGCTATAAATATGAACAAGTTGCTGGCTGGGGAATTCTGGGAGTTGAAGTCCACCACTCTTCAAGGAGCCAAGTTTGGGCACCCCTGTCTTACTTACACTGTAGATGGGCCTAGGAAAATTAGCTTGGCGTTTCCCTCCCACCCCTATGTTTGGGATTACTTTATGTTTCTTCTTGCTGGGATTTGTGGGTGAAGGGGGTGAGTCCATTTTTTGTCTGGGGACTCTCTACTTGCTTGCCTTTTTTGCAGTTAATTAATCCGAAAGTATAGTTGACGCAATGGTGGGGAACAGGAGTGGTCCACTTTTTCCAGAGTTTCATTTCCTCTAAGTTAAAAAGTGATTCCCTCCCTCCCCCCTTTTTAGTTTTAACATGTTATGAACTCAGGCTTAACCTGTTGTGCATGTGCAGCCACTTGCAGTTAAACACACAATCGGAGGATGCTTACAGTGTCTTTTCTGAAAGGCCTGAAATTCTGCTTGGTTGTGGAGAGGTGTGCCAGGATATCAAATTGCGTACAGTTGGAAGCATTTGTTTATTTTTCAAAATCAATACTCCTTAATGTAACTGTAAAGAAGTAATGACAGCAAAGATGGCAGAAAAACATTTGCAGTATTTTTTTTTTCCTACTTGCTGGGCTGCCATATTTTTTTCAGATTAATGTCTAGTTTTTAATAAACCCATTGAGATTAGAGAACTAACAACTTCCATCCATTCTCTTAGTTTTGGGAAGGAGGTGGCAGGAAAGGAGAAGGCCAGAGAAAATAGGTATATTAAATAATCTGGGAGTATTCAGAACACTCACATGAAATTACTATATAGAATAATCAGAATATGTCCAAGTGGATTCAGTGAAATCTCCTAAATCACTGACTTTAAAATTGCAAACTCATCTTTATTTTATGGGACAGAATTAAGACAATCTTTGACTACCTCTTTCAAATCAATGGGATATTAATTTTGGCTGGAGTGAATCAAGTTATCTGTCTGTCCCACCTTTCATTTTTCCTCATCTCTTGATTTCTGAATCTTAGTTCTCTAGTTGCAGCCTTCTGTGACTTAACATTACCAAGAGTTGTTGGTTTTTAATTATTACATTAGTTGAAGTCTGGAGGACGTTACATTGAGGAACATATCTGCTTTTGAATATACTGCACTTCATCAGCATCTCAACATTTCTGAAGTCTCTTCAGTGTAACCCAGAATTTGTCAATGGGTGATGGAAGTTGTCCATTGAAAAGGAGGCATGAGTTTAAAGGGATAGGATGAGATGTGAAAAACCAGCCACAAATCCTAAAATATGAAAGTTTGCATGCCCTAAGCCAAGTCATAACCCTGTTGTGCAGATTCAGTCAGTGAAATCAGTTGATGGTTCAGTTTAGTCTATGAGCTCTGAAAATGGAGCTGAGTAAGCATAAACCCAGTTAACCCCGGACCAGCCTGACAAGCAAAACATTCTGAGGGACCCTAGCCCTGTCTCAGCCAAAGCTACCTCACAAGGTTGTTGTGAATAGAAAAGGCCAAGTTGGGAGTTAAAGAAAACAAGAGTAAGATCCTTTGAACTCTTTGCAAGGAGAAGCAGGCAAAAAAAAAAGTGGGAAAAGTATTCTTCAATTTTTTTTTCTCCCTTGAAGGTTCAGGCATGGTTCTTCTCTCTTCCCCTCTTGGAGCCTTAAGAGATGCTGAAGTCACCTGCCTTTGCCTTGGTAAGGGAGAATCTTCTTTTAGCTCTTGGATAAGAGCTATCCCTTGCCCACCCTGACCTGGGCTACATCCCAGGGTGTGCTTTTCACCCTCCTGCCCCTTCTTCCTTGCCTGCTTGGCTGCCTGATGCAACCCTTCTTTCCCTCTTTCATTTCAAAAGGACAAAAGTCTTGGTTTGCCCTGGAGTGGCTGCCAGGGGCAATGCTAGCCTCAGCTGCTCCATCAAAGCCAAGGGACTAACAGCACCTGACTGCGCTTAGCTTCCTTTCCCTGCGATGGTCATATCACATCAAGTGGGGCACATGTGATATTACAGCCATAACTTTAAGCATTTTGTTGCTATCTGCGGCTTGGAAGCTTCATGGCTGACTGGGGAGGAAATAGGCAAGTGGGGAGGAGGGGTGGGGAGAGAAAGAGGGAGGGGGAAATACTATATATAGATATATAGATATAGATATACATGCACGCACACTGGCGGGCCTTCGCCCACTGATGTCAGATAATGGCTTATTATTGTTCTCCTTGATATGGCCAGTTTTAGAGGGAAGGAAGGAAGGAAGCTCTCTTCCTCTTTTCCTCCTGCTCTTCTCCTCCCGCCCCCAGCTTCCTCCCTCCCTCCCTCCCTCCATTTGAATTTCCAGATAACAGGCTTTGACTTCTGGCTGCACGTTTATGGGTCTTTTCATGTTATCAACTTAGCTCATAGCGTGGAACTAAAGAACACAGACTGCAAGTGACAGGCCGGCCAGTCAGCAAGGCAGGGCTGTCAGTATCTCTCATCCACTAATGATTTCCCTTTAGTCTATTTTCTGTCTCATTGGCCGTTTCCTTCAAAAACAAAATTGCTCATTTAAATTCTCCTGCCTGGGGCATTTTGGTCTTCAAATATTGTTGGAAAGTGAAAGGATTAGGCAAAATATGCTTTTTTAAAATGTTAATATATTTTCTGGTTCACTTTCTCCTCTGAGGCCAATTAGGAAATTTCTGCTGGCTGCATTAATGTCAAACTGACAACCTCGGCTATAATTACACCGCGCTTGAAACCTAACTTTCACTTGTGGGGGAGAGATGGCTGCGTCTGGCAGTGACATTGAATTCACTCTGCCAGCTTTTGATCATTTAATCATTGCTCGCTTTCTTTTCCTCTTTGCTAGCTTATTATTTCACCTTTTATTCTGGCGCTTGCAAAATGCAGTGTTGTCTTTCATGATTCACAGTTGCATTTTGCAAGGCTCATTAGTGCCATTGTTTCTTCAATTTGCTGTGCATGGGAACGGATGGTTCCTTCAAGAGCAGCAACCAGATGGAAGTTGTTTACCTACTCCATTTGCCACATACCATTGTACTTATTTGACTTTAAAAATACAGCCAGGCTTTGCACAGCGATGTGCGTGCTCTTGCTCACCTTTTCTTTTTTCTTTTTTCTTGCAGGAGGACAGGAGATGTAGAAGTAAAAGAAGACAACAAAACACAACTTTGTAGCTTTTGTCTTGCCCAGTGTGCATCTGTCTGGGGTGCCCTGTTGGGTCCTAAAGGCTCTCTTGGCTGTGTTTACATCCAGATATAGTTGGACTGTCGTTATTGGGTGCTGCCATGGTGGTCTCTTCCTCCTCCTCCTTCTCTCTACATGGCTTTCTACAACTGGTTGGTTAGCATGTACTTAGCATGTTCAGATACCTCCCTCTATCCCTGTTCTAGAATACGGGAGGTAGAGAAATCCAGGTTCATCCTCAGATTAAAAGGGAGAAGGTAGTAGCAGAAATCCAGAGGAGTGGTTCCAACTGGGAACTTGATCTTGGCTCAGAGGCTTGGCCTTGTCAGCTAAAGGAAGTGCCTACCCAATTCAGAACCATCTCCTTGTACCCACTAATTGATTAGGATCACCATCATCCCATTTATCTCAGAGATGCTTGGTCACATTGGGTATCTATCGAAAATTAGGAGCCTGACTTTGCTCCAGGCATAGAAATAGCAAGATCCTTTTCACAAGGAAGATTGATCCCTGACTAAATAGAAGTACTTTCATGTTTTGACACCTTTATAATCCTGCTTGAAAACCAGTTTCAATCTAACTCAGTGGTTCCCAACGTGGGGCTCATGCCCCACAGGGGGGCAATTTGATTTTTAATGGGGGAAATTTGGAACCTTGTTTAAACCAAGTTAATGGCCTTTTAGACTTCCTCTGCATGAGTAGGAGTTCACTTTTTGAATAGCAAGAATTATATGGTGGGGGGGGGATCAGTATTTTAGAGATGTATAGGTGGGACATGGCCAAAAAAAGGTTAGGACTGATCTAACTGAAAAGGAACCCTGTGCCCTGGATTGGGTTAATAAAGTTATAGCTGAATCTCACTGAATTGCACAATCAGGAGTGGTGATTCAGTTGAAGACAATTGGCTGAAAAAGACCCTCTGCTATAGAAATGAATGTTATTCTCATCAAGAAAAGTCCAGACCTCTGCTTATTCAAAGGATATGAGATTGATCAAGACTTAGGGATTTATTTATATTTATTTATTCATTAGATTTATATTCCACCTTTCTACTCATATGAATACCAAAGGAGGCTAACCATCATTCTTACTTTAATACTCATTTGGATAACCTTTTCCAACTTAATCCCTTTTTTATAATTTGAACCACAAGACTCATTAGCATTCTAATGTATGGGTGTGAAATTGTGGTCCATAACATCTGGAAGTTGCAAATTTGGGCAGCAGGATTGTCCTGAAGCCCTGGGTTGGTAATTACGATGAATGAGCCAGGGCCTCACTCCTCCTTCCCTGGATTGGGACCATAGCTAGGGCTTGGATTTCACCCACATCAGTGTGAAAATTATTTTCTTCCTTTTGATCCTATAGGAGAAAAGGAATGGCAATTTTCCCAAAGAGGCTCAGAATCTTCCCATCCCAACTCAACTATACCAATCCAATTCAACTATGAACAATGAGAAGGACTGAATAGATGAGATGAGTAAATATTAATTTTTGGCCAGTAAAATAGCTGGAAGACCAAAGGAAACATTTCATTTATAAGCTAAATCTAGAACCTGGATTCTTCATCACCTGAAATAAATAAAATATCAATCATTATTGATGGTGGAAGAAACATGGCATGGAAGAAACATTTCCCAAGTAATCATCATCAATGCATGTTCGAGAAAAGGCACCTTTCCATGAGGGAGGTGGGTGGGGGGATTTCAGCCCCTAAAATTGGATGTGGGCACTTTCTTTGTTGCTGTTCCTGCAAACTGAATTACAAGAAAGCTGGAATGTTTTAGCCACTTGGCGGCCAGATGGACCATTCTAGATGTATCAAAGTGAAAACCAGACAGTGAATTACATAGGAGAAGTCAATGTTCTTCAAACAGGTGGTATCTTTTGTTTATTTCAAAGCCCTTACCTGTGGAAGCTGCAAACACTAAGGTGAGCTTCTCAACCACTGGTTGGTGTGCTTCTCTAGCCTTGATGCTTTCTAAAGGTAGCCCCTCACTATCCCAGACCAACAGATCCAAAAAAGTGGTACCAGGAACCTCTTTGTTAGAGATTATTGGACTTTTAATTTAACTGTTCCCGATAGCAGGGTAAGAACAGTCTTTAGTTTTATAGTAAAGATTTGCTTGAGTTGTGTTGAACCCTTTAAAATAGACAGAGACACCTGATGATAACTAAAGCACACATTTAATATTTTGAAGGGGCCAAGGCAATAAGGTAGGTAAAGCACATGTAGGAAAAGATATGTTTAGGGGAATGTTGGGTACAGTATTAGATTTTTAAATGGGATATGCCTGTTTTAGGGTTTAAACTACAGTTTTTGTCCATTTCCACATCTTATAATAACAGGAAAGTCTGTCATAGCTTTTCAGCATTCATTGTCAGAAAGATCTCCAAAAGTCAGTCTGCCAATTTCTGGCTTAAAAGAAGTACTAGAAATTTTTCTCTTTTATCAATGGCAGGAATAATGAGCAAGTATAAGCCACTTTTGAGTATTATCTGATTATTTTCCAAATGGACTGTCATTCAGAGGATCAGGATGTCAAAAATGTAATTCCAAAATTAATTCCTAGTTAAAAGAAATCCCACTGAAAATAATGGCAGAAATACCTGCCTGAGAATTAGAGGTCTCCTTAGGAGTTATTGTAAGCCAATGTCAGTATTTCTTTCTTTGTTTTAATAGAGCTTATCAAATACAACTTGTTTCAAGCCCACCTGTCCTGGTTGATTGGGTTTTTCAATAGTTGTCTTCTTGTAAACCTTTTTCAGTCCAAAGCCACCAAATGTGTTGGATTTAAATCCCATTTCTCCAGTCTTGGAAAAGCCCAGTTTGGGAAAGGCTGAGTTAATCATCCTCCCTTGCTTAGAAGAGACATAGCTTGTTTGTTTATATTGTACTTATATAATTTTATAGCTGCCCATCTCATACAAGTGACTTGATTAAAAAACTTCACAAGCATCACATCCCTGGTGGCTGAATTAACTATTAAACAGCCATACTAGCTAAGGTCATTTCCACTATGGTCAAATGCTCTTTCTTACTACCTCTGATTTTTTGAAGACTCATCCAAGTTTGTTTTTTCCTAGAGACCAAAAAAAGGATGCTGCATTTAGGATGTAAGAGATGGGTTAGATTAGGAAACATCCATGGTTGCTACCGTTCCTTTCCTTCAATAAATGGATGTTTCAGGTCAGAGATGGAACTCTGGTCCCAAAGACAAGGTCACACTGTTTCCTCCTAATAAGAACCAGTGCAAGTTCATCTCATCCATCTTAGTTTAGAATTTCTGTGTCTCAAATCCTGGAAGTTAATGACTATTCCAAAGTTGTAGGCTAGACTGGAAGAACTAGACCTTTCCTGGAAGAAGCAAATGACTTTGGTGCTGTCATCCAGATATTTAAGTGGGCCTGTCTAAGAAGTTATCAAAAGTCAAGTGTGTCTGGAAGGCAACTGTTTTTCCTGTAAATGCTTGATGGAATCAATGATACTTTACTGAACTGTCTGGTTTTTTTGAAAGTAAAGAGGAGAAAAGGGTGATGAGGAAAGAGGAAAATGGAAGCTGTTTCCATTGAATCCAACTTTTCATCCAACCATCTACAGAAGATGCTAGAGATGGAGCCCAAACTGCTCTTGAAATACGTTCTCTAACTTTGAAGCTTGCTTTTTGATAGATTTGTGATGCACAATAGGACTGTGGTGCACAATGCTCCTGAGAGCCCTCACCCTGAGAAATTGGCTCTTCAGAAGTGAGGCTTCTTGATGTTCTGGACATCAATATTCTTCAACCACTTGATGTTCTTCAAGTGGTTTTAGAAAAGAATGTCCATAGGCCTGAGTTCATTAAAAGGCTGCTATTGAATGAACAGTGATCTAGTCCATCCAAAATCTATTTTACAGCCCGGTACTAAATCAGCCCACCAGATTTCTGGGATTTTTTTTTTTTTTTTGAGCTCCCCAACTTCCATCTCTGCCTCATACTTAAGCCAGAGTCCATCCAAGTCACATCCAGCCCAACATCCATCCCTGCAACAAGGGAAAAATCTTCTCCCTTGGACTCTAAAGGCTTAGGGGTTCTCCTGAGCCCAGGATGAAAGCTGAGGGCCGAGTCTTCTCCTGAACAGGGAGAAGCAGGAGGTGGGAAACAAACGGCTCCCATTTCTCAACCTTCTGGAAAAGAAAATCCCTCCCCATGAATGAAAGTGTTTGAACGTTCCGCACTCCCTCTCCCCCCCTCACCCCCAGCTGAGAAAGGAGGAAGCGGGAAGGAGGGAAACCTCCTTCCTAAGGCTGCAGGTGCGAAGCTCCCTTCCTTCCTTCCTTCCTTCCTTCCTTCCTTCCTTCCTTCCTTCCTTCTCCAGCAAATGATATTTACTTAACTATAGCTGACAGCGCTTAAGAAGGCGGCTCCCGTCCGCTGTAGGACCGGATCTCTTCTCCTTTCGCCTGTCAGTTTCGAAGGCAATCGTTGTAATAACCGCGGGATCACTTGAAATGTGGTTAAAGCTACGGTGGACAAAATCAATCTGCCATGTGCTGGCTCGGGAGGAAATCACTTGCAGAATTTGACAATACCCTTCAGCAATCCTTAATCGCATCTCCAGTTTTTCTTTGCCCATTTCCCGTTCTTCCCCCCCCCACCCTTTCTTTTTCTTCCTCCTCTCATCCTCCCCCCGCCCCCCCGCATACGCGTCCTTCTTTCCTTCGATATAAATATATACATATACATTTTTTTTTCCTGGTTATCTTTTCGCTTGGACTTCAGGTAATCTGAAATGGCATTGACCCTTCTCATCCTTCCGATTACCTTTCTGAAGCATGAACTTGGGATAAAATCACACATCAGAAAATTCACTCTAATTATTTTGCAATGCCATCAGCACAAATCAATCAAGCCGGAGAAGGCAGTAGTGGAATCTTCCTCCCAGCCACGAAGGCGGCCAGCAGCGGCCCGCCTGACTGACAGTTTTGGTAATTAAGTGATTGTACAGACCTCTCCAACTGTTCTAACAACCTTGTCAGGGCCTGTCTGCGGACGGAACAAGCTGAAATCAATGTGCTTTCTGCTCTCTGAGCATTTCTGATCGTGTACTCTGGACTTGCAATTGGGAACAGAGAGGAGCAAGATTAAATACAAAAATCTGATTTTTTTCATTTAAAAAAAATATCCCTCTACGCACCGCGGAAGGAGTACAAAGACTTCAGTTTAATTGGGGGAAGAAAAGTAGGAGGAAAAGTTAACTTTTGCAGGGGGGCGGGTTTGTAGAAAAAGAAAGAGCCCATAAAGGTAAAAGCGATTTTCTACTCTGAGAACCCATCCCTGCTTTAAAAAAAAAAAAAAAAAAAGTTAAGCATCTGTCCAGGCTTACTCGGAAGTCCCAATCTGTTCTCCTGGCCTTTTCCTCTGGAAATGTGCCCGGGGCTGGGCGTTAGACCCGGGCGCAAACTTTATTTTGAGGGAAGGTTAGAGATAAATGGGTGGATAAATGGGTAAAAAGCCCACCCATCAGTCTCAGGATGGGATCCGTGGCCGGACAAAGCCTGGCTTGTAAACTCCAGCCCTGCGGAACCCCGGAGGAGACTCAGCCTCCTCCTTCTTCCCCCCCCCCCCCCCCCCCCCTCCCCCCCCCCCCCCCCCCTTCCTCGTTTGTTTCCACTCATCGAAACATTTCTGTATCTCTTCTCGAAAAGGCGGCAGTGACTCGGCGGAGCCGTCTCTTTTCGCCGGCCGGATTATCGGAAAGAAGCTGTTGGCAGAGTGTAAATGTCAAGCAGCCGCTTTTAATAAAAGGGATGCGCGCTCCGAGTTACATTTCAGGGCAGCCAAAGCGCCTTCTCCCGCGCTCCCCTCCCTCCCTCCCTCCCTCTCTCAGCCGCTCCGCCAGCAGCACCGCCTGACCTCCTTTCCGGGGGCTGCAGCTTCTGGGTCCTCTTTCCTCCCCTCCTCAAAATCCCACCCGAATTTCGCCCGGGGGGAGAAAAGAAAGGAGACTAAGAAGACGCGCCCACCACCTGCCTGCCGCTTGGGCAAACGAGCCCCTGCTTCCCCTCGGCCTGTTCTCCCCTGGCCAGGTGGCGGCCTGCAACCCGGAGGAGCGGACAGCCGGGAGGCAGATTTCGGGGTCCTTTCAGCGCACCCCGTTGCCGTCAGTCCGGAATAGAGGCCGGGAACTGTCCGAAAGTGGCATCGCCTGACCGGGGTTGTATAAAAGCGCCCTGTGCCACCAACTTGATCCGAACATGGGACTTTTTTGGGGGTGGGAGTGGGTGGGGGGAAAATCCCTGGCGTTTTAATCATACATTAGAATTATTATGTGGGTGCCTGTTAAGAGGGACTTCGCCGGGTTGCTCTGTTACTTATGGTCGCTCCTAAAAAGTGGCAGGCCTCGCTTAGGCCTCCTCTAGAGACTCGCCTCCAAATTCTCCATTCTGTGTTCAATCGCCTGTTTTGTGGAAGCATTGAACGCCGCGATACGGAAAGCACGTCGCTTCTATTCAAAACGACCAACTGCTTAAAAAGGAAGGGTCGGTGGTGTCATTTGGGGTGTGGGGATCCGCAGCCCCGGCGAAACTGATGAACCGGTCGGGCTTGGTGAGCCCTTTTGATTCCCTGCTCAACACCAGGGTGCCCTCTGATCTGCTGGGATGTGGGAAACGCCAGTTGAGAAGCGCCAGTTGCGCTGACCGCAGGGGAGCCAGACGGAAGGTCCCGGAGATCATATAACCCATCGATGGGGCAGGGAAGTCAGCCTGGGTTTTTGGATTTAAAAGGGCTGCTTCCTTAGAGGAAAATGTCACTCCTAATTATTGCGAAGACCCCTTCTCTTAGCGGTGCAATATTGTTACTATCCTCAGAAATGTTGTGGGAGGTAGGAAAC